CATGTTTGTTTTGTGTTTGTTGTAAAAATAAAAAAAACATTATAAAAAAAAAAAAAGATGATGTAGAATTATGGTATATTTTATTCTAGATATTTTTCTTTTTTAATTGCTTGGTGAATTGACTTACATATTAATTTAATTGTGCATTAAGATAGATATGTAGGGTTAAGGGTTTTTTTTTTAAAGCATATGAGTGATGTATGCTGTTGTGGGTTTTTCCTTTTCTTTTTGTATGCATAGGCAGTCCCTAGGCTACAAAAGTCTTAACTACGTAAGTCTGACACTAGCCACAGGGTTGCAAAAATGTCAGTTATTGTCTTGCATGTGTGTGCAACATGCCACCTGACCTGCATGAAAACTAGCTTATGGCAGGGATTCCTGGAATGAAACCCTTGTATAATCCAGGGACTGCCTGGAATAGGACAGCGAAACCTCAATTTACTGGACAATACACCAGACTCTGCACATAGAAGGTTCAGTTTCCCCAATGATACATGCCATTTGCCCAGGGACATGACCTTAATGATATACTTTTATATTTAACATTTATGAATAGCAGACACCTTGTCCTCCCAAATCAGTCCATTAAAAAGAGGTTTCACTGTACTGAGAAAAAAAGGACAAAAAAGCCAACATTCCCACTAGGGAACATCAAAATGGAAAGACTGGAGGAACAGATTTCCCAAACCAAAATTCAAATGCTCCGGCCTGTAATTTCTATCATCCTTGCCAGCAGGGCCAACAATTAAGCATGATAGGAGCTGTATTTGAAACACTGGTTGGGAAAGGTTGAGAAGAAAACAAAGGCAGCACAAGAGAATGGGACATCATAGCAACTTATAAAAAACAGCCAGATTTGGAGGAAAGGTATTTGAACACTCTGGATCACCCAGTGAAGTTCAATGGCTGTTGGTTCCAGACTAGTAAAGAGGAGAATTTCCCCATCTCATAGCAAGGAGCAGCATGACAGAGGTGAATTTAAATTAAATGAAGCAATGAGAAAAAGGAGAAGATAAAACAAGGTAAAGTCCAACCCAATGCTTCCTGTTCCATTCTGTCTGAATGTATGTGAGTGTATTTTTTTTTTCCCTAAAGAGCAAGTTAAAACTTCTACAGGTCCCAGACCAATTCACTGCTGAAGAACCTTCAGTGCAAAGGTTGAATACAAGAATTGTCTTCATAGCTTGTTCATATATGCTTAATGGGTTAACTTTTACTCAAATTAGGGTTGCCTAACTAGGATCAAGACTGTGTGCTGCCTTTGAAATGCTTTGCGTGTGTGCGTCTGTGTGTCTTCAAGTCAGTTTTTGACTCCAGGTGACTGCCTGGACAAGTCCCTGCAGTTTTCTTGGCAAGATTTCAGAAGTGTTTTGCCCTTGCCTCCTTCCTAGGGCTGAGGGAGACTGACTGGCCCAAGGTCACCCAGCTGGATTCATGCCTGAGAGAGACTAGAACTCACGGTCTCCTGGTTTCTAGCCTGATGCCTTAACCATTTCACCAAACTGGCACCACTTGAAATCCTTAAGAGCCCGTTAAAAAGTTGCCATCAAATTGCAAAATTTTAATGTGACAGAAAGGGAAAATTAGGACATACTAGGGGAGAATTTATATTAAAATGACCCCCTTGAGTTGAGCTGGATTCCTGGTTACTGCAAGGACAAGTCCGCATGCTTTCTTGGCAACCTTTGGGAAGGGATTGGTCACTGCCTTTTCTTGGTATGTCTAGATAACTGGATGAGGTGTCCCATCCATGCATGATCCAAAGCCAACCCTACTTAGCTTTCTTTAATTAGCCACACACAGATACATGCTGCCACCTGCCCACAGACACTAATCATAAAAGCTTAATGAGATGCTATGCAAATTAAATCCAATTCAACTTTTGTCCTGGCCCCACCTACCTCCTATAGCAGACGAGGCCATTGTTCAAGAGTGCCTTACCGTTAATGCTGCAAGGGACATAAATCCTATCAGGTTATTCCAGACTTTATCAATATCCTTCAGGAGCAGTTGGAGCTTCTCACTGCAGACCGCTGTGGCTTTGATACCCAGCTCAACTCGCTTGGTGACGCGATAAACTTCAACAACCCCTATGAGGAATGTGAAGAAGGGCAGAGGGTCATACCAAGAGGTCATATGGGCAGAGGGGGGTGTTTGCAGCTTAGCTCAGAAGGCATTTTGACTGAAGCAGAACTGGGCTGAAATTAACCTGCTGTTACAGAAACCAAGTTTGCAGACTGGAAATCCATACTATCTATATTCCCCACTGATACTCTTGTGCAATAGGCTCACCATCTTTGCACAGGCATCCATTTCTCATGTTACCTCTAAAGGCCATCCCCCACCAAAACCTTGAATGTGGTCTGTCCAAAACTTGCCACTGAACTGTAATTTGCAATATCATCGAAGGGGAACAATTCTTAAGTATATGGCAACAAATTATACTGACAACCTCTAAACGATGCAACTTAATTTTAGTGCAGTATAAACCATATTAATCAAATCTAGTTCTTGCTGTGTCAACTTTTCGAATGCAAACCCTGATGACCACTCTAAGGCTGAGACTGAATTTCAGCCAGAAAAGCTTGCACACTTAGTGCTACAGAGAAGACAGAAAAGTACAGTATCTTGGCAATGGCCAAGACAAAGAGGGAACTACCAGCATTCTAGCACTGTCCCCTCTGCAAATTTCAGTTCTGGCCTAGAATATGTTTTGGCTCAACCTTCTGTCCTCTTCAGGGCATATGCAAAGGGCTGGCCCTCTTCTGACAAGTTTTGCACTCCACAGTTTGAAGTTATCTCCTTGTTTGTTGTGGGAAGTTCTCCTGAAGCCCACCTCTAAATAAGAGTTGCAAGAAACTGCATTCCAATGGAACAAACAATCCCCATCTCCGCAGGACACAACTGACTGAGACATCCCCACTTCTAATATATCCCACCTTGCCTCCAAGCAAAATATAATTATCCCCATGTAAGCCACCTTGATTTTATCCCCTTAGGTAGGCTGGGCTAAGAGATCGCCTAGCCCAAAGTCCTCCACTGGGCTTCCATGGCTAAGAAGGGCCTAGAACTTGGGTCTTCCCCCTCCTAGTCCAGCATCTTCATCATTGCACTGCACTGGCTCCCAGGCTGAGAGGGTGGAACTGGCCCAAAATCCCTCATGGAGCTTCTGTGGCTGAGGGGGGACCAGAGCCTAGGTCTTCCTAGTTGCAGTCCAACATTTTAACCATTGCAACCACTGGCTCTCAATCCACCATACTTACTTCAGTTCCACGCACTGGCAGCGCACACTATACCACTGAATTGGCCATTTTTACATTCCTCCCAGCTGCACCAAAGGAGAGTGGAGGTCGGTATTTTCCTTTTTTGCCAGAGTGATTAAAAAAAATCTCCAGTGTTACAATCAGGTTTGATATCACACTGAGAGGATGGGAAGATGTCCCACCCTATCCTTCCTGCCTTCTTTTCAACCTAAGTGGCCACAGGTAGTGGTGATGATAGTGAAAAATAGCCACAGAGATGGATGGCCAAGAGAAGCACCATTTTTGCAGGGAGGACTTCTCTAGGACTTCATCTCTATCATATGGAAGAGAAAGAAGTAAATCAACCTATTGGTTAACTGCTCATCTGGGAGTCTCTTAGAACCCTGGTATGATTTGCATGTAGCAGTTGGCAGGGGCAGATTGTTTACAGAGTTTGTCTACTCCCCACCCCAGCGACCCAGTTAAATGTGTCATGTAAACAGAGCCTTAATGTTTGCTTGGACCGGAGATAGATTTTCAGAGTCTCAGAGAGAGGAAGGTCTTTGCCATTATTTAGATCAGTGTTTCTCAACCTTAGCAACTTTAAGATATGTGGACTTCAACTCCCAGAATTCTGGGAGTTGAAGTCCACATATCTTAAAGTTGCTAAGGTTGAGAAACACTGACCTAGGTCTTGATGACCTTTGATCCCCACTTGTGGATCCAACCCTGGATGAGTTAGATCACTAATACAATGTTTTTTTTAAAAAAAACATTGTATTAGTGATCTAACTCATCCAGGGTTGGATCCACAAGTGGGGATCAAAGGTCATCAAGACCTAGGTCAGTGTTTCTCAACCTTAGCAACTTTAAGATATGTGGACTTCAACTCCCAGAATTCTGGGAGTTGAAGTCCACATATCTTAAAGTTGCTAAGGTTGAGAAACACTGACCTAGGTCTTGATGACCTTTGATCCCCACTTGTGGATCCAACCCTGGATGAGTTAGATCACTAATACAATGTTTTTTTTAAAAAAAACTTATGATTTACAAAAGCAATTTTGCTTGAAATAGCAACATTTCAAAGGAAGGTAGCAAGAAAGTCACGAATTTGCCTATAACTTTGGGATGGGCGATATGGTTGAAAGAGATGTGAAGAAATTCTCTAGTCACTGTTCTAGAAATCTGTGCCTATAAGGACACGTCTCCCTTCTTCCTTCCCCCCACCCCCAACCCCCTGCAAATTCCTGGGCATTTTTAATTCATGTTAATTGTTTGTGTTACTGAGATGTGAAGTCAAATAAAATTATACCTAATAAATATTCCATGCCTTGCACAGATTGGATGACTTCAGTACACACAGAAGAACTGCTGATTCCATTCAGGATGTCATTTGCTTTCTTGATGACCTATCAGAAAAGAAGTTCATTTACTTTGAAACTCGAGTGGAGGATGCTGAGCAGGCCTGTGCAAATCTCTCAAAAGAGATGCTTTTGAAGGTGAGGGAGCATGCACAAAGCATCTTCTTTCCAATTATTAAAACAGCTATATCTTTTTCCAGGCTGTGCAGCTGTTTCAGAAGTGGCTCCCCCATATGTGCACAGACAGCCTCTTTGCTTCTTGGGGGGGGGGAACAGGTTTGTAAGAACTGGCAGCATGAAGCAGAAGAGAGGGCAACATCATCAGGAATTAGCAAGGTTGCTTCTTAGGTTATAAGGAAGGAAAGAATAGTCTGTCCCCAGCATCTCCCATTATGCATCTTTGAGAACCGAACAACTCTGTCAGATCTCGTGGAGCTTCTGCCAGACTAGATAATACTCAGCTACATGGAAGAGCATGTGCTTCAATACAAGGCAACCTTGCATACTGACTACCTAAAAATACGGTTACCACATCTGGTCTGCAGAAATCCAGAGAATCGCTAGATGACAACAGAGTTGGAATTTTCTCTCTTTGCTTCCACCTAATGGTCATCTGGGAACGTGCAGCCAACATCTCCTTGGAGTTAAAGATAGACTAACATTTGAGTAGAAGTCAAGAGATGTTCTTCCACCTGTGGTACAGGCTTAATTTTGCAGCTTGCTGATATAGATAACAGATCCCCATTTAGAAGACTTTAAGTATAATGGGTCAATTTTCTGTTCAGAACTCCTAACAAAGTAACGGATGAGTCTGCCGCACCCAAAGTAGTTCAGATGAGAGAGTTAAAATTATGTTACTTTTACTGTAATTTTACAACAGCAACTTATGTTATGTTCATTGAATGATGTCATTTATGCAAATGAAATAAATTGAAGCAAACTGTGTACTTTTGTATTTAATGGATAATCAGGAATGGAAATCTCCTTTCCAACTAGTCCCTTAAATCAAGGTTTTACAGTTTAATGCAAAGTTACACATTCGCTCAGCTGTTAAATTTTATCCAATTTTTATCCTGTACTGCTTATTTTACATATAACAGCGCATTTTATTAGGCTCCCTCCCCCCATTTTATAACAGTTGCAAAACTGTTCTGGTGACCCCCATGTGCAGTTGGTAGCATCCCAGGTGACTACTACTAATCACCTCTGTTTGTAATTCAAACCAGAACACACCCAAAAGATGCAGAATTCAGTTTCCTACCCACCAATGGTTGTGATGTGTAGCTAAATTTTCTGCAATAGATCCCTTCCTTATACACTCTCAGACTAGACAGCTTACTGTGCTCATGCCCCTGGCCTCATGCCAAAGACCTTAACATTTCCCCCTTTAAATGGTTCCTACAGTTGTTACAGATGTTATAACTGTTATTGACCAGCAGGAGGTACTATGTGTTTCCAGAAATGTGTTGCATAGCGCCTCCTATCGGTGAGTAGCAGTTATAACGTAGATACGTTTGAAATAAACTCAAGGCAGTTCTCCAAACCATTCTCACTGTTCTACAGATGTCATGTCTAACTTTCCCCTTTTCAAATCACCAAGCAACAGGTATCAAAAAGGAAAAGAAGTTATTCAGGTAGATGGTGACTGTTTACTTACTTGCAGTGCACTTTCCAAGCATCTCTGCCATTCATAGGCATATCTCTCACTTTCCTAATGGGAGAAAGTAAACGAAATAATTTTGCACGGCTGCAAAAAGCATAGGGTGGTGTTTTATGGGTGATTTTTTTTCCTACATGGGATAGCCAAATTCACATGTGGGAAATCAGAAACTTTTCAAATTCTCCTTTATCTATAATAGCACACAACAGTTTGGGAGGGAAGGATGTGGGTCTCCTCCCGTCGAGTTGTGAAAGTCAAGTAGGCCATCTTGGTCACTGTCCCCTAGCTCAAATGGTTCCCTCCTACTGTCATTTTGGAAGAATGTTAAAACAGGCTGCTTCCAAAGAAATTTTGGTGTACATGATGCCCCTTGATTGGAAAATGTGGCTGAGCAGGGGCAGGTGGGTTTGGTAGAGATAAGCCTTAGGCTGTTCTGAATTATTTTTAATTTGTATTTTATTTTGTTGATTGTATAACACCTAAGATCTGGAATGAATTGGACAGCATACAAATATGCCTGTAAGGCAGTGTTTCTCAACCTCAGCAACTTTTAATATCTGTAGCCACTGGCTGGGGAACTCTGGGAGTTGAAGTCCACAGATCTTAAAGTTGCTGAGGTTTATTGTAAGCAATAAGTGAATGAAGGAATCATTGTGAAAGCTTTGCATATCAGGGGAACAAGCCAGCTACAACTTTGCCTCTCTTTCAACACCTCTCAATTCTGCACACAAGGATTTTTGCCGTACCTGCATTTGCAGTTTGGTACCTGCTTAACCAAGCAATTGTTTTCAGCCCAGGTATGCCAAGCCACATTTACTTTATTGTTTCTCTCCTTACCTCTACTTCCCCAGTAAGATCTTTGTACTTGTCTCGGATAACCGGCAGTGAAGGCTTCTCACTCAGAGTGTTTGATCTATCTCTAAAGGGTTGCTCCAGGGGTGGTAGAGGTGAGGAACCCAAACTTAGGGTCCTTTTGTGAGAACCTGGAAGGAAATAGAGGCCTTAAAGTGTGGTCAGGTCCAGGAATATAGGCACCCCAAAGCTGTAGAGGGACAAAACATTGGCAAATCCTGTTCCTTTGCAAAGCAGAACTTGAACTCTTGGCTCCTTGAAAATCAAACGTTCCAAGTTTAACACAATGAAGTTATGCTTGAAAGTGTGCATATTCTGGACTGGCAGCTGGAAGATAGCATCTAATTCTGACCCACAAAGGTTTGTAATCTGTCCCCCAGAACTGCAAACTCCCATACACCACCACTTTCATGTTGCTATGAAGCTCAAACAGTTCTCACAAGCAGAACTTGAAGCCGATGGCTCTGGAGCCAATTAGACTAAACAGCACTGGGTTAACCACAGAGACGGCATGGGATCTCAACATAAGGTAGCTTCTTTCTCAGCTATGTGCAACTGAAAGGTCAGAGACAGAGGGCCATTGTATACTGTAGCCCAAACAGCAACACTCCCAAAAGAGGGTATTGTTGGCTTGGGCAACCCTGGAATGGGGAGGGCAGGACTTTGTAAAAAAAGGTGCAAGAAGGACTGAACATGTTCAATGGGTCTGCAACTGTGAAGAAAACTGAAAGGGGAAAGAGAAGGAAAATGGACTTTCCCAGAAAAGCACATAATTAGCTCCCTGAAGAGACTTTGTCTGGTCCACGGGTTAGCCAGCTGTGTTTTAAAAGACATGGCTCCTCCCATAGGTGTGCTGGTTGTGGACAAATAGGAAATGCTGAGAAAAACAGTTTGCCTTGGTCCTATTTGTACATTCATACTATGCTGGTCTTAAGCTGAGGAAGTTAAATGGAGGTGGATCCAGAACACCCAAGAGTAAAACAAGAACCAACAAGTGGAAGTTTTACAGATCCAAACTTGAAAGGAGGAGGAATTTCCTGACCATAAGAGCTATGAAGCAGTGGAACAGCCTGCCTCCTGGAGATGTGGGTGCTCCATCTCTGCAAAATTTCAAAGGTTCAAAGGCAAAGGTTGGGCAGCCATTTGTCTGGGATAGTAGGAAGATTCCTGCCCTGGGCATGGGGTTGGATTAGAAGACCTTCAAGGCACCTTTCAACCCTGTGATTCTACAATTCTACGAGTTGGGCATGTTTACCCTTAAAAAAAGACTGAGGGAGATATGACAGCATTCCTCAAATACATGAAAAGAAGGTTCAGCATTGTTCAGAGTGCAGGGCATGTAATAATGGATTTCAGTTACTGGAAGGGAGATTCCAACTGAATGTCAGAAACATCTTCCTAACAAGAGCAGTTTGACAGTGGAACAAATGACCCAGGGGGGGGGGGGGGGGGGGGTTCCCCTTCCTTGAATGTGTTGGACCAGAGGCTGGAGAGACATCTGTTTGGGATGCTTTCAGCTGGATTGCCGAACTGAGCAGAGGGTTGGACTCTGGCCCTAGCTCTACAGAAAAGAATGATCTTCTTGCACTCTTCCTGTGGTTTTGCAATAGAAAGAGAGAAATAGCTCTACTGAGTTAGTGCGAGGAGAGAAAAGCATATGGGCATCATAAAATGTAGCCAGGGAAGTTCTGCCTGCATTTCACCAACAGCCAGGAGGCCTGGATATCTGAAGCAGAGATCTCTTCCATGGTGGGCAGCCCGTAAAGTCTGATCTTCAAGGGAGGTTTTGTTTGAGAGTATCAGCTGTCTGCAGCAGAAAAAAGTTTCTTCAAAGATGCGGCCTTGCCAGGGCAACACCTTCCCCAAGGAAGCTGTGTGTGTCATCCAAGCACCAGGTGAAAAAAACAAAAACAAAAACCCAACAACAAAAAATCTCCAAAAATTTTACACATCATTTTTATGTTGCTTTTATGCTGTTATTATTAAATTTATATGCCGCCCATCTCCCCCAGATGGGAGAGACTGCTTGATGTTATGTCTGCTACCTGTTTTGTAGGGGCTCTTTTATATTCCTGTGGGGTTTCCCCCCCCTTATTTTATTATAATGCACATTCCTTTATAGAGAACTAACACTTTATAGAGTTAGTCTGGTGTAGTGGTTCAGGCACCAGGCTAGAAACCGGGAGACTGTGAGTTCCAATCCCTCCTTAGGCATGAAGCCAGCTGGGTGACCTTGGGTCGGTCGCTCTCTCTCAGCCCTAGGAAGAAGGCAAGGGCAAACCACTTCTGAAAAACCTT